TTCGGAAGTTTGCATTCTTCTTCTCTGGTATATTATGGGAACTCTGCTTTTACTTTTTTTTTTTAATTGATGACTTGTTGCCTTGCCTTTTTATCATCGAGGAAAATGAAACATAGACAAACATGTAGCTCAAATGCAGCTCTGAAACCGAATAAGGTAGCAACCTATTATTAAATGTAGAGCAGACTAAACACTTTTTAAAAGAAGAATCAGGTTTCAGGCTTTAGCTTTGTGCTTGTCATTTAGACTTTGGAATAATCATACTTGCTGGGGCTGAAGCACTTGATGCTAGGCAGACTATGGACTCTAGTGAGTTTCTTTTTTTTTCCTCTAACAGTTGTAGCCCTATGCTTGTGGTCCTTCCCAGATGTAGTGGGGTGCAGGATTTCTGATCACATAGCTGAGGGGTGAATTTCTAAATCATAATGTCAAGCTTGTGGCACTCTTTCGGGTAGATATACAAATAGGGTCTCTGCATGGCAAGAGTCGTCTACCTAGCTATTTACAGAAGCAGCAATTCCATGAAAAGGTACTCCTTTTTTCAAGGCACAGACTCACCATTCCAGGAAGGGAGCCAGATATTGAAATACGACAAATTTTACAAGGGATTTTTTTAAATCCCTTTTGGTGCCAGTCTTGTCCAAGTGGTAAAGAAATCCTAAGGACATATAATATAGACAGGTAAAAGTGGCTAGGATGCCTTTCGTGCACGGGGCCCAGCTGCCTGGGTGTCCTGAGAAGCTGTTGTGCTCTTGGAAACTCCCTGGGAGAAAGCAGCCCGCGGGAGTTTATGTAGGGACAATTCAGATTTGCAAAGGTAATAACAACAAAGTACTTTCAACTCAAGTAAAGCCCAAACTCAAAAGTTACTAACTTTGAGTTTAGTTGAGATTTGGGGTTATTTCTTTCTTGCATTCAGATGGTCCTCACTCAAGTGGAAACACTGAAAGAAAGGTGAGGAGAAGTCCTCCAACGAGCATCTCCACTCTGAGTTCCCATTGGAGCCAGTTCCTGGAAGTCCTTGGAGTGCGGCCTGTTACTCCTGAACACACCTTAGATATTATCCACCAACGGAGCACCAGCCACTGTTATTCACGACATAGAAATTGCTGCTGCCGTAGCTGGTGCATGCCCTTGGTTCTAAAGAAGGTGTGGTTTATCAGAACTTTAATTTATGGCCATGGATATTACTCACCTACTTCAGGTCTAATTTCAGCTGGAATACTTACTTGACAAAGCATTCGTGTGGCTGAGAAACTGACTCTTTTATTTAAGCTGCTGATAGATTTAGCTGTCCCCTTTTTGAAGATTTGCACATTTCCTGGCTTACTTGGAACTGGTACCATGTGGGATCAAAGACAGCTAGAGACCTTGTATTAATTCTATAAATGTTAAAATAAAAGTTAAGCTCCATTTTCTGGTTCCTGTTGTAACTGGAAAGAATAGCTCATTCACAAGAAGAAAATGAATTAAAAATTAGGAACAGCATGCCTTATCTCTTCCAAATGTGGATATAGATATCGGTTTTGCTTTTCCCTCATTATATCACACAGCAAAGAAAGTCACATTTCATAACAACGCTGTGACCTCCTCCATCCGGGTCTTCTGCTCTAGAGATAGGAAGGAACCAACTCTCTTTAGGGCCCATGGCTCCCCTTGCTTCATACCTTTTGTTTCCCTGTTGCTGCAGAGAGGCTCATGGTGGTGGAGGTTTGCCTGTACTATCCCTATGCCGTGTCCCTTCCACCTCCTTTGCTGATGTACGTGTGTATATGTGTGCATGCTGGAATCCAGGGATGATTTTGCTGAGGGAAGACAGAAGACATTTCTCAACTTTCTTGGGGCTTGGCCTCCAAATGCCAGTCTGAATTCAGTTTGATGGCCCATCTCATGACCTCATCTCAGAGTTCAGGAGTCATATGGATCCCGCTAGGATGACTGTTCTCTCTACCTGGAATCATGGCCCTCAACTTGTAAATCTCCAATAGAGAAATACAGAGGAACAGAAGAAAAATTAAAACCTGGCAAACTAAATTCCTATTGATGACGAATGATCTAATACTTAAGTTCTGTCCTGTGTTGTTTTCTCAGGTTTTTTTTTTTTTTTTAAAGATTTTATTTATTTATTTGACAGAGACAGAGATAGTGAGAGCAGGAACACAAGTAGGGGGAGTGGGAGAGGGAGAAGCAGGCAGGCTTCCTGCTGAGCAGGGAGCCAGATGTGGGGCTTGATCCCAGGACCCTGGGATCATGACCTGAGCCGAAGGCAGACGCTTAACAACTGAGCCACCCAGGCACCCCTGTTTTCTCAGGTTTTTTGCTCACAAAATGGCCTGCAAGATAGTAGAAGGTCTGTAGGATTGTAACATGGTTCTATTATAGGAGGGATCTAAGTGATTCCAAGATACTTTAAAAGAACCAGGGATGGTTAGGATTGTCAATTACCGATACAGTTATGTGACTCAGTTTCTAAATGGGGCCTGGGGTGAGTTTTAGTTTCCTCGTAAGTAGAAGGGGGAAATGATTTTTTTACCAAATGTTAGTGTAAAAATTAATGAGATAGCGCATCATACAAAGCACTTAGCACTATCCCTGACAATAAGCACCCAATAAATGGAAGAATATGTACACACACACACACACACACACATCTTTATTTCCACTGTCAGGTCTTGTCTATTTACAGCTTCTGTTCAGGAAACTTCTTTATCTGTCTATCTGGCCTTTACTTCTGGCCTAATTTCTGGTGTCTAGCCAGCTGTTCCAGATGTTGCTATTAAGCTGTCCTTTAAATGGTCATGTTTCTTTGACCTACTGACAGTGACTTTTGAAGAGAACCCATTACGATGGTGATTTTAGGATTCACAGAACCATATAACTTTAGAACTTTATTTGAAAGATGAGGAATATGAGGTCCAGAGAATGTAGGTAATTTCCCCCAAATCACACAGTTCTCAAGTCTAGATTTCTGGGTTGTCAGCATTGTCTTTTACGTACGTAAGAGTCCTTCAGACCCAGAGGAGAGTCTGGGCAAAGCACAGGATTTAGATTGAGAAGGGGTTATATTTGAACATAAAAGAGGACTTAATAGTGATAAAATATTTGCAAATTGTGACCTTATGCAAGGTGCTTATCTCTCCATTTCTAAAATAATGTGCACCTACTTGCCTCGTAGGATCTTGTGAGATCTAGATTCTAGACAGTGTAGGTGAAAATATTTGTAAGCTGCAAAATGCTTGTAAATACTAATTTTTTCTTTTATAAGCATATGACACACTACATATACGTATATATGTATATATACATATACGTGTTATATGTGTATCGGGACATAGGTGTATATGTGTGAATCTTAATAAATTAATGTGCTAATAAAACCATTTTCAATCAAACCCAACTTTTGCATGGCTTTTATCTGTAATGTCCATTTATGACCATCTGCGGTAGGCTCTCTGTATGCTTCAAAAGAGAGCTCAGTATCTTGGAGGTTGGGCTAAAAATGGGAAAGAATGCAGAAGGGGATTTTTGCTGCCTTGAAATCCAGGTCAACCAGCTGGGTGCTTAACAGGTAGAAAAGCCCCTTGCCATAGGGCATCAGGAGACCTTGCCCTAGAAGGGCTGAATATATGGGGATATCAAGCTGTTTTCAGCTTCATGAATATTAAGCTATTTCTTTGAATCTCAATGGATGATTTACTGGGATTAACTGCTCTCTGTATGAATTAGGAAAGTAAATACAATTCTAATTTCTTGTCATACAGGAATTTATAAAGAGCATGCAGGAATGGCACATTCATTTCAACTTGAGGGCACTCTTCAGTTGCTTGGTGGTGAGCTGTTCGAGAACTAAGCAGAAAGAGATTTGGGGACTGAGTGTGGGTCAAGATAGCCAAGTGCCATCATCATTCTAGTAGTGTGTGTGCTGTCGGCTTAGGTGGGAACAATACATGTGCATATTGAAAATGGTAGCAGGGCCTTAGTTATAATCCTGGTGTCATCACATCTACCTGGGAGACCTTGAACAAGACTCTGAATCACCCAGGACTTTCATTTTCCTCATTTACAAAATAATTAGCATGGCCATCTTCTGTTTCTGAGAAAGGGACAGTGTACGGTTTTATTCATGTCAACTCCAGGACATCTTTACCAGGGAAGATGACTGTCCTTAGTGGTTACAAAGGTATAATTCTACCCTGTTTACCTTTTAGGCTCTTGTGAGATCTAGATTATAGAGAATGCGTGTGAAACCGTTGTGTAAACTGCAAAGGCTACATAAATATTAAGCCACAAATAGTGGCTTCAGATCCTCAAGTTTCCTAAGTAGTATGCTTGCTAGACAGTCAACAATATGAAAGAAATTCTATTCCTTTTAAAGAGTTTTCTCAGAACATTCCTTTGGCTATAGCAAAGGAAAATAAAATTAATAATTATATTTTTAATGGATGGAAGCTGAATGTGTTTGACTTGGAAACTTTCATCATCCTCTGTGACTCTCAAAATGAGAGAGAGAATTGCTGTATTTTCCTTTTCCATTAAGAGAAAGGAATTAATGTGCTTGTTTGTTTCTTTTTGTTTGATATAAACATTTATAAAACCTTTTTTTTCCTCCCAGCCCCCTGAAATCAAGCTGAACATTGGCTCAGCAGATTTTATTTGGCCTGATTTTAGCTAAATCATTCTTTTTTCCTGTTTAAGAGAGAAAAAAAAGTCATTCCACACATTGCGATATATATTCAAGTGATGGGGACCCCAGAAAGTTGACAGGGGGAAGTTTAGAAAACCCTCACATATGCAGCCCGCTACACATTGTATTCCTCCTGTGAGATTTGTGGTTTTATTTTCTTCCATATTGTCATCTTATTTAAAAGGGTGGAAGATTATGGATGACCAGTTGGCATCTTAATCAAGGTGAGGGGAGAGTATTCGTGAATTGAGCTCATGCTTGCCCCTGGCTTTTGAGGAAAAGAACCCATGTATGATCACTCGGTCTCTGTTTTCAGATCAGACTCCGACCCCAACGAGATTCCTGAAGAACTGTGAGGAAGTGGGGCTCTTCAATGAGCTGGACTGCTCCCTCGAGCATGAGTTCAGGAAGGCTCAGGAGGAGGAGAGCAGCAAGCGGGTAGGTTTGCTTGAATGGACTCCTTGGCAGGTTCCTCCCCTAAGCCCCGTGAGAATCTTCTGTATGGGAACTTTGTTGGCACTACAGATTGTGCGGATGTGGCCCTAAAACAGCATTTTATCCATTTGCAAGTATTTGTCTATTTTTTTTTTTTTTTTTTTAAAAAGGATGAATCCCTGATTGTGGTAGAATCCATCGTGGCAGAAACAGACATCTGAAATAGGAAATTCAAGCAAAAAAAAAAAAACAACCCAAAACAAAACACCTGATTCTTGAACCTTGAGTTGGATAACTCACAGACTCTTTGTATTCAAAACTAGTTGTTTTACTTTGCTAAATATTTAGTAGGAAGCCTTACATGGGTGTTGCATGCAGAAGACAAGAGTCAAAGAATAATTGTAGCAGTAGGAGAGGGGGTTTCATCTGATTTTGTCCCAGGTTCTCACTGTCCTATTTCCATAATCTTCCCGGTAGACCTCCGCCAGTTTCAGTTACTTCCCATTCGTATTATTGAACATCTGTTATTGTTGAGACAAATGGTTTAAATATACGTGTGGATTATTTGTTCTTACAAATGTAGAAAATCCACTTTATGCATGCCTCCAGAATATATTCAGTTTCTCGTAATGTTATGCTTGCATTTTAAAAATCACTTTGCAAGATTAAGGAAAGGAAACCGGGTCACAAGTAAATGTGATAATGAAGCTCTTTAACATTTTTTCCATTGTTACGATAGAGCATTATTGAATGCTCACAATGTACCAAACAACAAATTAGACACATTCCATGATCAGAGACTTAAAATGTGGAAATGGGTTGAAAGGAAGGGCTGGCTAGGTTGTAATGGATTCTGAAGGTCCAGCTGTTCCATCCGGAGAAGATATTGTAAAGGCTCTGATATTTCAAAACCTTCGAATTCTCCTCTACGTGAAATTATAATAATCCCCCTCCACCAGATTTTTCATGTCACATTCTCACATTAAAACAGTCAAGGGCTTGCACTGAGTCTGTGCTGCTTTTGGAAAAATCATCATAATTGGTGGAGGATACAAGAGAGGTATAAAATCTCAATCAGCTCATTTTATTTATGTATAATTAATTTACACAACCACTTTCCCCACCCCTCAAGTGACATGAAAGGCTTTCTGCCCCCCACTTTTAAAATGAATACTTTTTTAGCACTTATTTGCCAGGCACTGTTCTGAGCACTTAAAAATTTAACTCAAAAAAAAAAAAAAAAAAAGAAGGCGTACATTCTATATTTCACTGCAATAGAAACATATTTTTTCAAAAATGAGAATTACAAGGGTGAAGAAGAACCAAAACGTCTAGTAAATTTCCTCTGTTTGAATTCTACATTTAGCTCTCTTGGTAAATGTGGCATTTGTGAAAAAACTGAAGGATTATAAGTTCGTTCATTCCTCAAGATAGTCAAGGTTGGTTTCTTAGATTAAACTGAACTGTAAGAAAGGTGTATGCTAGTTCCTATTGGTTTATATTATCTTCATTTCTGAGAGATGGTTTTAACTGAAGTATGTGTCCTTAATTTTCCTACAGACATTTACCGAGGACAGCTTTAGGAAGCCCTATGGTAAGGGTGTGGTTTTAGATGTTCTCCTTTACGTAGTACTCATGACTCCTATATGAAGCCCCATGGGAGGAAATTCTTGCAGATCTGAATTCCAGGAAATTGTTTGCTTCCCCTAAGGAACTGAAATATTTTCTCCGTGTGGACAGGAGAATCATGTAACTGGTTCTGTTTCTCTTTTCGCTTTGACTGCTCGGTTAACAGAAAGCCAAGTTTACTGCTTAACTTTGAGAACTTTTTAGAACACTGTGATGAACATATTTTACTTCCCTCCAGACTAGACTTTCAGTTCTAGTTTATATTTCCTCTGGTCCTGATTTTTTTAATTTAAAAAACATTTTTATGCTATACATTTTTTTTTCTGAATTACTTTTGAGTCCTTGTGGGTTGAGAAAGAGTACAAATAAACTTTATAAATTAAAATAATCAGGCAAGCAACTTTGAAAAAAAGGACAATTGCAGTTATAGAAATGCATATTTTAAATACATATTTAAAATATTTTTAAAAAGTGTCTTTGAATCTTGCTTTTGTTTTTTAATTTATTTTTTTAATTTAAATTTTAGTTAATATACAGTGCAATATTGGTTTCTGAAGTAGAATTCAGTGATTTATAACTTACATACAACACCCAGTGCTCATTACAAGTTCCCTCCTTAATACCCATCACCCATCTAGCCCATCCCCCACCCTCCTCCCTCCATCAACCCTCAGCCTGTTCTCCATCATTGAGAGTCTCTTACGGTTTGTTTCCCTCTCTCCCTTTTTTCTTTTCCCCCTTTCCATATATTCATCTCTTTTCTTTCTTAAATTCCACATATAAGTGAGGTCATATTGTATTTGTCTCTCTCTGACTGATTTATTTCACTTAGCATAATACTCTAGTTCCATCCATGTTGTTGCCAATGGCAAAATTTCATTCTTTTTGATGGCTGAGTGATACTCCATAAGATACATAAAATACATTTATGTAATATATAAATTTTATATAAATATATTTATATATATATATATAGACACACATACCACATCTTTATCCATTCATCAGTTGATGGACATTTGGGCTCTCTCCATAGTTTGGCTATTGTTGATAATGCTGCTATAAACATTAGGGTACACGTACCCCTTCGAATCTATATTTTTGTATCCTGTGGGTAAATACCTAGTAGTGCAATTGCTGGATTGTAGGGTAGTTCTATTTTTAACTTTTTAGGAACCTCCATACTGTTCTCCAGAGTGGCTGTACCAGCTTGCATTCCCACCAACTGTGCAAGAGGGTTCCCCTTTCTCCACATCCTCGCCAACACGTTGTTTCTTGTGTTGTTGTTAATTTTAGCCTGAATGCTGCTTTTAGCCATGTGCTAGTTTTGTGATGGGTATTCGGGTGGGGAATCCTATAGCCAGCTTCCCTCGTGGTTTTGGGTTTGGCGTCTCAGGAGATCACCTTCTCAAACTCCAACTTTACTTGCACGCACTGAAAGCTGGACAGCATTCAGGCTGTTGAGGTATCCTCTTCCCTTGCCTCTTTTTTTTTAAAGATTTTATTTATTTATTTGACAGAGAGAGACACAGCGAGAGAGGGAACACAAGCAGGGGGAGTGGGAGAGGGAGAAGCAGGCTTCCCGCGGAGCAGGGAGCCCGATGTGGGGCTTGATCCCAGGACCCTGGGATCATGACCTGAACTGAAGGCAGACACTTAACGACTGAGCTACCCAGGCACCTCCTCCCTTGCCTCTTTTAAACCAGAGCAGCCAAATCCAGCCTTGGGTGGCCATAGCTTCTTGAGACCTAATGCACGATGACTTCTCCAGAGGCCAGATGGGCTGTGTTGGTGGCTTCTGCCTAGCATTTCTTTGGAAGCCACAAATGGGTAAATTAAAGGTGGGAGATACTCTCCAATCTACCAGCATACTTTTTTCCAAACTTTTGACCACATTTCTCCAAGCTACCAACATCCCTGGCACACTGCCACCCCCTGCTCCTGCTTCGTTTATTCATCCCCTACTTGAAAAGTAGGATATAAGCTTTCTATTCAATGCATACCTTATTATTATTGAATGTTATCTTCTTCCTTCCTTCCTTTTGCTCTGCATTCAGATAATTATTTCTTTTTAATTCTACATCTCCAACTTTCTTCTAATTTCTTTTCCTCTGAGTCTAAGTACTTTATACAAAAAAAATATTGGAAAAATTGGGCCGGTCCTTCCCTCCACCTTTAACTTTCTAGCTGCAGTTTGGTCTAGAAAATTCTATTCAGGAGCAAATAGAGAATTGATCCTCACTTAGCTCGTTCGGCTGTCCATTGGGGAAAATTCTGTTCTATAGACTATCTCTAATCCTGACACCCCCAGCTCCTGCTTCAAAAGTAGGAATACAAGCTCTTTATTCAGTATATCCCAATGTATGTATAGAATGAGAACAGGCTAGAGGCAGGTCATGACAATGGAAAAAGCCCGAATATCTCAATCTTCCACAGAAATATAAGCTCGTGGTTTCAAAACTCTTTAATAAGAGATGTTTTTCCCTTCCATCACCAGCAGGTCTCACAAATCTGTTTGCCTATGGCTTAGAAGTCAGGCTAGTCCATGTCCTGAAACAGGTGGGAAACTTGTGTTCACCCTTTATTCATTCAGTAAATATTTTTGAGTGCTCGTCATGTGCCAGGCATTGTCCGAGGCATTGATGACTATACTGTGGGCTAAAACTCATTGAAAACAAAACCCTGCCTTTAGGTAGCTTACTTCTCGTGGGCAAGACAAACAATAAGCAAGTAAAAACCATGAAACATATAACATGTCAGAAGGTGGTGTGTGTTCTAGCAGGGAAGGGGCAGAGGCAGTGCTGGGGGGAGGGGTGGTCAGGGAGGACATTGGTAGTAAGTGGACATGCAGCAGAGACCGGAAGGAAGAGAACAGAGCTCTGTGTCAGAGCAGGTGTACCTCGGGAAGAAGAGTGTTCCAAGTGCAGAGAGTAATAAGTGCAAAGCCCTAGGGCTGGAGGATGCTCTGTGGGTCGGAGGAATCACAAAGAGGAGGGTTTGTAATAATGCTAAAGAGTGGGCCTGGGAGGGCAGAGTCCGGAAGGCCTGCAGCCTTCAGATTTTCCTCTGAGTGAGATGGGGAACCATAAACAGTTTCAAGCAGAGGAGTGATAGAATCTGATTTAAATATATTAGAAAGTTCACTTTGGCTGCTGAGTTGAAAGTAAATTGTTGGGGGACGGTAGCAGAGAGAGAGAGAGAGAGACCAGTTCCAGAGGCTAATGGAAGAATTAGGATAGATGATGATGGCAGATTGGTCCAAGGTGGAGATGGACATGGTGATTACATTCTGGGTCTCTTTTGAAGATAGAGCCAACAGGATTTACTGATGAATTAGATCTGGGGAGTAATAGAAAGGATGGAATCAAGAGTGA